AATGGATTGTATACCGATAGACACGTGGCTATTGCTCCAACATAAAGATGAATGAGATCATACAAAGACTAAGAAAAACAAAGTGGGGATCCTTCAGTGAAAAAAGTCAGGCTCAGAAAGACATCAGCTACATCTGTCTTCCTCATAGCTGGAATCCTAAAAGGAGAAATGGAAAAAGGGGACAAGGGAGGTAACAGGCATGGATATGACATGCATGGGTGACATGTCCTGGTGACACTCTTTGCTCCAGATAATGTGCGCTAATTTTAAAAAGAACAAGAGCTCAATGTCAAGTCCTCTAGTGCCTGAGGTGTGCCGAGCCATAATCCTTACTAAACTCAACTCTGGGAGTGTGTGGTGTGTGCACGTTTTAGTTTGGAGAAATATAGACTTCGGTACTTTGGGTTTGGAAAACAAATTTTTTTTAAAGATTTATTTATTATATATAGTGTTCTGCCTGCACATATAACTGCAGGCCAGAAGAGGGCACCCGATCACATTACAGATGGTTGTGAGCCACCATGTGGTTGCTGGGAATTGAACTCAGGATCTTTGGAAAAACAGGCAGTGCTCTTAACCACTGAGGCATCTCTCCCGCCCAGGAAAGCAGAATGCTGTAAGCACTGCTAATAGACCCTGCTAACAGGAGCATGGAAGACAGTGGTGCTGTGAGTTATTTGAACTGCAGGAGTTCACTCAAGATATTTCAAAGGAGAATCTTAGTATATTACCTAGAGATCATTCTTATGATATTTTGGTGAAGAAAGTGGCTGCCTTTCGCCCTTGTCCAAAAAGTCTGCCTGAGACTAGAGTGAAGAGTTTTGGATTAATTCCATTGACAACAGAAATCTCAAAACAGCCTAGTATAAACTCTGTCATGTGGTTATTAGTGCTACCTCTAATGAAGATTTATAATGAAAAGAGCAAGCTGAGCAGGGTAAATTACAAAGTGTAAACTTTGAGGAGAAAAAGAGCACCAGGAAATGAAATGGAGCTAAATCCTGTGTTCAGGGAGATAAATGGATTAAGAAATTGAAAAAAGGGAGTGGGACCTCAGGGCAAGATCCCACACAGTGAAATTTCCAACTATTGAAAAGGAATTAAAGAAAAGCTTAGAGCAGGGTGTGGTGGTGCACACCTTTATTCTGAAGGCAGAGGTTGGTGGAGCTCTGAGTTTGAGGCAGGCCTGGTCTACAGAGCAAGTTCCAGGACAGTCAAGCTTAGGCAGTGAAGGAAGCCATCAAAAACAGAAAGTTGGTGAAGATGTAATTGAATGAGGAGACCATGTTCCAGCCCCAGTAAGCAGCAGAACTTGGCAACTTCGGCCACACGGTTCTGGAGTTAAGGATAGAAGAAAGGACCTATGGAATTTGCCTCTGCTGTTAAGGAAAGCTGCTGAGATCAGGCATGTGTCAGGGGTGTCCCTGAATGGAGGCCCAGAGAGGCCATTGTGTGAAACTATGAAGTTGAAGCCTGGATTCCCTTGGAGAACCCAATATGTTGGAGATGCCAGCGTTGTGGGATACCTGCCAGAGAGAGCTGCCTACAGGGAGTGGAACCAACCCAAGAAGAAGAAGTGTGTTACAGTCAACAAAGCTGAAAAATGCTTTGACATCAGATGTGGAGATGCAGAATTTGGAGTTTGCCAAGCTGGTTTCCTGTCTTGCTTAGGTCCAGTACTTCCTCAACATGCTTCCATTCCTGCATTTTGGAATGGGTATGTATAACCAGTGCCATTATATGTTGGAAGTATGTTATATGCTTTTTTATTTTGATTTTTACAGATGATTACAGTTAAGAGATTGCATGAATCTCAGAAGAGACTTCGAACTTTAGACTTTAAAACATTGTTAGACTGTCATAGACTATGGGGACTTTCGAAGTTAGACTAAATGCATTTTGCACTATGATATTGTTACGAGTTTATGGGGTCAGGGAGTAAAATGTGGTAGTTTGAATATAATTGGCCCCTATAATCTCAAAGGAAGTGTGGCTTTGTTGGAGTTGGTAAGGCCTTGTTGGAGAAGTGTGTCACTGTTGGGAGGAGGCAGGTTTTGAAGTTTCCTATACTCAGGATACCATCTACTGTCTCAGTGGACTTCCTGCTGCCTACAAGATGTAGGATTCACAACTACTAATCCAGCACCATGTCTGCCTGCCTGCTGCCATGTTTCCCATCATGATGATAATGGGCCAAACCTCTGCAACTGTAAGCAAGCTATGCCAATTAGATGTTTTACTTCATAAGAGTTGCTGTGGTTGCCGCATGGGAGTGGCGCACACCTTTAATCTCAGCACTTGGGAGGCAGAGGCAGGCAGATAGAACTCTGTGAGTTCAAGGCCAGCCTGGTTTACAGAGCAAATGCCAGGACAAGCTCCAAAGCTACATAGAGAAACCCTGTCTCAAAAAATAATAAAATTAAAAAGTTGTTGTGGTCATGGTGTCTCTTCACAGCAATAGAAACACAAACTAAGATAGACAGAGTGTCCTTCCGCACTACCAAACCAAAAATGATTGCCACACTCAAAGTCCCTCCCTACTACTTCCTGTGCATTTCTCTGTCTTCCAATTCCCTCTTTACCCTCTATGGCTACATCCTGTCAACTAGCCACTGGCTCTGCCTCCTGACCTCAGGTTTATTTTTAATTAACTCAATCTCAGGGTCCACAGTGTGATCAAATACCCTGCAACACCACCCTAAAAGTGAGCGGCACCATTGCCTAGGCTGAGATCTTGAACTGCAGAAACAGAGAGTGAGCTGAGCACAAGCACGCACCATTCTGCTTCCCAGCTGTGGGCTGATGTGGCCAGATGCCTCAAGCTCCTGCTGCTGGGATCCCTGCCATGGCGAACCACACCCTGGAACCATGAGCTCAAATGAGCACCGCCTCCCTTAGGCAGTTTTGGATGGGGAAAGTAAGAGGGCCGGGGAATGGAGAAAGCTTCATGATTGGAACTGCCTGAACCTCAGCACCTTTGCAGGAATTCCACCACACAACTGAGAATAGTGAACTTCCCCAGAAGGTGAAAGTGAATGTACCTGCCCATAAGATGGAGTCAGTGGTGAACAAGAGTCAGGGCCACAGGCACAAGAAACATCCTCAAATACGAGAGCCCCAGCCCCTCATCCACAGAGGAGTGACACCCCAGATGACACCCCTGAGCCAGTGCTATCTCCCAGTGCCCTTGTCCCCTTTCTCCAGACCCTACAGTAGTGAGCATGGAAATGCCATCTCACGCCTGTTTCCCATGGCCAGCTTTATGAGCACCCTCGTAGTTTCTAGTGCCGACATGAGACACCCCCCATCCAAACCCCAAGGTTGTGGGGGGTCATCTTCGCCCTGACATCAGGCTCATTGGGTCAGCACAGTGTAGAGCCAATTCCGTCAACTGGGATCCTGCTACCCCATTAGTAAGTCTACACATCTGCCAGCAAGTTTGAATACAGTGCTGAAAATCCCCAAAGGAGAAGCTCACCCATATGCCCAGCTAATACATTTGTGTCCATGAGCCTTTTTCTCTAGCCAGGCTCTATGCCTCAAGACTATCCAGAAAACCAATCCCTGCCCCGTGTCCCACCGAATCCTAGTGACTTAGACTGAGGACCTGCACCCTCTCACCTGTGATGCCCATAGGACTTCACCTAAGATAACATTGCCCTTCTAAAGCTGCACGAGACAGCAGCTCTCGAGACCCTCTAAGAAACCCTGACCTTTGAGCCCCTGATGCAAGCCCTCTTCCCTCAGAGGATCTTCTGCCTCACGGGACACTCACGGGACACGCAGGGGACACGCAGGGGCACCAGTTGCTATCAGATTACTCAGCAGTGAGTAGAGATGATCGGGCTTTGCCCCACCGCTTTCAATGGCCAACAGACACAGTCATTCAAAAGGAGCATGTGGGTGCAACTGTCCTACAGCCCACTGCCTCTCAGAAACAGAGCCCCTGGTAGGGTAGACCACTGCGTGTTTATTTTAACTGTGGCATCTGTACCCCAGGATCCATCAAAGGTGCTTCCTTTCAAAGCCTCACCCATCTCCTGCAGCTGGAAAACAGTGTCCAGATGAGAGTCTCATGGACACAAAAAAGCAAAGCAGCCACCCTGTGTTCCCTTTGGAGGGTTTTACCTAATCTGGGGCTGGGGTTACAATTCGGTAAAGGGTTTAGCATGAGTTTGGTCCCCATCACAAAAAACAAAAACAGAAACAAAAAAACAAACTGTGGCCATAGCTCAGGATGGCACATTTGTTTCATACATGTGGTACCTGAGTGCCACCCCAAGCACTGGGTAAAGTGAGGCAATACAGCCCTGTCTGCCTACGAGGCCCAGGAGTGACATACCTGGCAGATGAGCCCCGCTTGCCAAGCCTGTCTCCACAGGCTCATCTGAGACAAATGTCTGCCTCTGCTGTGTGTGTGTGTGTGTGTGTGTGTGTGTGTGTGTGTGTGGTTAGGGCGGGGGCCGAGGGGTTCGGGGGGCTGCTGCAGAGTGAGAGAAGGAAACAACAGTCCTTTGGAGTAGTTCCAAATTGAGCCAAGAAGCCTGTAGCTGTGACATTTGTGCGGTCACTTGGGGCTGGAGGAGGCTTTCTTTGGGGGATTGGCTCTCCACAGGTAAGGGCCTGCCGTGTACTTCTGTGACTAGCTCTGCACCTAGCCTGAGTTCAAGCCATAGGCCTATGCATTTGGGGGAGGAGCAAGGCTAGGCCAGAAGAGAGATGGCCATCAGCACTGTGGACCCAGAAGGCTCCCGCGTGAATAAATCTCAAGGAATCTCTCTTCTACCTTGGCGCTGACCTCAGCTGCTCTGGGCCCCAACTGTAAGGGAAGCTGAGCTCCCGCTGGACCAGGAGGGAACCATGGAGATGAGGGAAGGCCGCACTCCAGCATCCCTCCCCGATGCCATCAGAACAGCAGCCTAACCCTGATCTTAAGGCAAAGACCATTGCTGTGACGTGTCCAGCAAAGCCTAAGTGGGGCCCCATACACCAGCACCAAGCAAACACAAACCCAGCTTTATTGGCAGCAAGGACTGGGAATTTCTGCCTGGTTCAAGCAGCAAGGGAGAGGGGTGGAGGAGGGATTGTGGGTCAGAAGGGGAGTGGTTCTCGCACAGGAATGTTGAGTTCAACAGCCATGTCTGGGGTGCACCTGGCAGGAAGCAGAAAAAGACTGTGAGGGGTCAACAGAGGCACCAGGATCAGGGACAGAGGGGGGAGACGTCATCCCCAAACTCAATCTACAGCCACCTGCACATGCACGTACACATGCACAGGGCGGGGGTGCGTGTACACACACAGGTCAAAAGTGGGAAGAAAACTAAGTCGTCAAGGACTAATGTACCCCTAAAAAGGACCAAGATCAGAGGGGAGCAGAAACTCATGTCAATGTCACGTCCTCCTTGACTGTCCCCACTTACAACCCTGGGACAAGTTCTTCCAGGCTCATGGGGCTCACAGCAGTTCCACGCTCAGAGCTTGGTGTCTCCTAATGTCTTATCCCCCTCCCGGCTCTGTGGGGGCAGAGCCAAGGGTTACTCCAAGACGAAGGAAGAAGTGAGATGGAAAATACGTGACAGAGAAAGCCAACTAGCACGGGACTGTCCTCTAAGCCAAGCAGCCACCATCTTCATAGGCTTGGCTGTGCCCGATGCAGAACATCATCACAGCTCAATCTGTTGACTAATGGCATTCCCTCACAGAAGAAGGTAGCCGGGAGGGTCATGGAGCCCTTACCTGAGCTTCTAACTGCTCCTCCTAACCAGACATGTGGCTTCAGGGTCTCAGAGAGAGGCTAGAATTTATAGACTGAGAAAGAATAGTAGAAGTGGGGGGAGATTCCACCCTCACAGTTAAGGGAAGCCATCACCCATGCTGGAAGCACACACACTCCTGTCAGCGACCCTTGTGACCCAGACTCTGTAAATAAGCCCAACAAACTCATCAGTTTCTCAGAAGGAACGATGGTAGAATCAAACTTTGGTTTGTTATTGAAACCTTAGGAGGCAGATGTTGCTTGACATCTCCTCCCAGAAAAAAAAATTCTCTAAACATATGATAACCCCAGCATTTGGGAGGCTTGAGCAGGAGAATCATATTCGAAACCAACCTAAGCTACAAAGTGAGACTCAGTCTCAAAACACCAAGTAGGAGGTAGGCAGGGGTAGGACACAAAGAGAGGCCTGGGAAGGGGGCTGGAGAGATGGCTCAGTGGTTAAGAGCATTGCCTGCTTTTCCAAAGGTCCTGAGTTCAATTCCCGGCAACCACATGGTGGCTCACAACCATCTGTAAAGAGGTCTGGTGCCCTCTTCCGGCCTGCAGGCATACACACAGACAGAATATTGTATACATAATAAATAAATAAAATAAATATTTTAAAAAAGAGAGAGGCCTGGGAAGAGACGGGAGACATAAGGGAAAGTTATGCAATTTGCAAATGCTGGGCTCAGCCACCACACAAGAAGAGGTCTAGCCTGTTCCCACTACCATCTGGCCCTACAATTGAGTCTAATCCCAGGTAAAGCAGGCCCTGAAGGTTAATTTTGGAAGGAAAGACACTCTCTTCTTGGGGCACAGAAGCCTTTCAAACAGGAAAGATATCCTCCTTGTCCCCCATATCCCTGGAACCAACCATCTGTGTCAGCTACATCAGAGATGGACAGAGAAAGCTGTGTCTAGGTTAGAGGCAGAGTGGAGGCACACCCAGGGTTCCTCCCCTCCATGCCGAGGCTCTTGCCATCTACCCGGACTGCCTTCCCTAGGAACGGGCCTGCCCAGCCAAGCATGGCAGCCTAGACTACATACTTGGGTCTCTGCAGTAGAATATCCTTAAAAACGACGTCTCGGGGATTGCAGATTTCTGCATACATTTTCCCCACCTCCGCAGTTAGTATGGGTATCTCCTTCTTCATCTTCTCAATTAGCTGAGGGAGACACAGAAAGGAAGTGTGAAGTCCGAGCCTGGGGAAAAGGGACAATACTCAAAAACAAGGTGTCTGGGAAGATGGTATGGGCCTTGTCACTATGGCATGATGGGTTTAGGACCAGGAATGGGCCTTTCAAGTGAGGTGAAGGGACAGTGAAGAATGGAGGCAGGTGACAAAGAGGTGGGACATACAACGTGAGAAAAAGGGACTGGTGGAGATGGGGACCTCCACTTGAAAACTGATGGATACTCACTCGGAGAGGGCGGAGCCTTGTCCCATAACTCTGATCTTGGCCCAGAGGGTAAAGGGAAGCAGCTAGTGTAGAGCAGGGGACATGTGAAGAAGCTAATGGGTCACGGCCTGCAATGGTGGCCAGCGAGGCAAGGTCCACGCCAGCAGGAATCCCCTTTGAGAGGAATGCTGAGTAGCAGCAATGGTGCAGTCAAAGAAGAAGGCTAAACCAGAGCAGGGCCCCTCCTGAGGACCAGGTCTGTGCAAGCCAAGGCCCACCTGCAGGTCCCGCGCACACGCCATGGCCCTCCTGGTGCCCTCACCTCTCTGAACCAGACTGTGCACCTCTGCAGGCGCTGGCTATCCTGCTTCTTCAGCATAAGCACCTCCTCATAGGGTTGCTGGGTTTTCTGGGGACAAAGGCAGGAGCACATAGGTGACTGACAGGGACACCAGAGGACGGGGAAGCTAGGAGGGCCTGGAGACCCGCCACAGCACCCAGCTACTCACCACCATCAGAGACCTCAGGATTTTCTTCTTCTTCTCCTGAATCATGTCAGAGAAACCCCCCAGGACCATGTCACGCATCTCCTTAAGGTTGTCCAGCTCGTCCTGGGGGTGGCAAAAGGGGTTTGACCACCACTCGCACCTTCCACGCGGTGTAGGTATGGGGCCAAGGGCTCCCTTACCTGCTGTCTGTCCTTTGCCTGCTGCACCTGGCGTATGTGATTGGCGATCTGGACTGACCTGACGGGATACTCGTGGTCCATGTAGGTGCTCAGGAAACTCACCTCCTCACGGGCCTTTAGGATCTCAGCATGCAGCTGTTCAACCTCCCGCTTCAGGCCTAGGGAGGGACAGCACAGGGAAGGGAGGGGCAGATGTCTGGGCCTTCCTTTAGAGAGCTTCCCAGGAGACCTCGGAAGTCCAGCTGTCTTTGGCCAGTGAACTGGGATCTGGGCTGAGGTGTGCCCACGCGAGGTAGGAGATGGTGGAAGCTGAAGCTGCTAGGGTCTCAGGCCCCAGAAAGGAGAAATGGAAAAGTACAAGGTCCTTAGACAGTCCAGCTTTGCTGACGGCTAAGTGGTCTCCACCAAGACTATCCCTGACTGGATCTCAGCATCCTCAGATACATGCCCCCGAGGAAGCAAGACCAGAGAGATAGGCAGACACTGATGTCCAAGACATGATCCTTAGCAGGAATAAGACAAAATCTAGCAGCTGCTATGGCTCACACCTATAATCCCAGCACCAGAGAGGCTAAGGTGGGAGGACTGCTGAGAATTCAAGGCCAGCCTGGGCTACTAAGTGAGTTCCAAGTCAGCCTGAGCTATACAGAGTATCGTATAAAAAGTAAATGAATGAAAGATAACACTATCTTGCCTTCCTCCACGGAGGGGACCCCCAGTGTCGCAGACTGCCTGGCACAAGCCCCCGACACACACCTCCTCTCAGCATCTAGCCTCCCAGGGCGGGGCAAAAAAAATCACAGATCCAGAGCAATGGAAGCCAGGCCTGGGTCCCAGCCATTGCCTCCCAGAGGGACCTTGACAGGCTCAGCCTGGATTCCAACTCCTAGCCACATAGCCTGCAGCAGGGGCTTCCTCTCCCCGGCTTCAGTCTCCTCCTTGGCAGGTACGGTGTGAGAAAAGTCCCTGCATCCCAGGAGGGTACAATGGGTGTGTAGCCACTGACACTCAACCACCCAGGCCTGGAAAACACTGAGCATGCTTCCCGCTTTGTAAGCTATTCGCTCTAGCCCGCAGCTGCGTGCTCCCCCTAGAAGGCAGCACGGGCCTGGTAAGGAGCTGCCCTCCCCCAGAAGCTCCTGGATGAGGCGGGGGCCAGGGGGTCACCCCTTACTGTTCATTTTGTTCTCCTCCTTTTCCTTCCACTCCTGGAGCTCAGACCTCAGCTGCTCCACACGCTTCTTGTTTGAGTACTCCAAGATGTCGATGACATTCTACAGGAGGGGTGAGGTCAGCTGACCACCAGCCTCTGCTGGTTCTCTAGCTCACAGTGGGCTGTGGCCACAGCACACTTCCACAGCCCCACTCGCGCCTCTGACGAGAGGCCGGAGAGCCACTACCTCCCACTCCAATCCTCAATGGACTCCTTGCCATGGCTGAAAAGAGCCTGCACGATCTGGCCTGGGATGAACTCATCTTTCCCCCATCCCTCCCTCACACCTTGCTGTGCAGTCACCCATAGCAACTGTAGCTCCTTGAGCTCCCCTTCGCTCCCTCTCACCCCATATCTGAGGCCCCTGTTTCCTCTGCCTGCAACACTCGTCTGTCCAATCTCACCAGTTCACATCTCTGCAGACGTCAGCTCAAGTATGGCTTTCCCCAGGAAGTCTTTCTGATGCACCAATGTCTGAATCAGAGCTCCCCTTGGAGCTCCCCAAGTCTCCTCAACTCCAGTACAGCACAGACCAAATGCCAACTGCAAGTGCCTGCAACCCCATTAGAGGGAAAGTTTTATGTGGGCACTCTCATGATAGCTGCTCCCCAAGGCCCATAGGTCTAAGGGGCTAGAGGGATGTTCAAACCCCAATACCCACAGGTGTGATGTTGTGGGTGTATAAATCCCAGTACTGGAAGGATCCAAACAGGCAGATCCCGGAGACATGCTAGCCACTCAGCCTAGTCCGATATGCAAGCCTCAGGTTCCAGGGAGAGACCCCGTCTCAATAAAGATGATGGACAGTGTCTAAGGAACAACACCACCTAGTGGCCTCCACATGCAAGGGTGTGCGTGTGTGCATGCGTGTGTGCGTGCATGCGTATGTGCGAGTGTGTGTCTGTGTGTGTGTGTGTGAACAAGAAGTTTGCTTGGGCTGAAGGGCAGTGTGGCTTTGGTCTCTGTTACAACTGGACTGTGTCTACCAAAACTTCTTAGGTGTAACTGCTTTTGGAGACAGGACCCTTAGGAAAGTAAATAAGAGTGACTGAGGTCACAAAGACAGGCCCTCATCAGAGAAGACCGGTGTGTCCCCACAAGACAGCAGCACTCTCTCCACACACAGAGAGAAAAGGCTTAAGGACATGGTAAGAAGATGGCCATCTGCAAAATAGGAAGAAAAGGCTACAACAGAAGCCAGCCCTGCTGACCCCTGACCTTACTCCTATGGAAGCTCCCCACCCTAGTACCTTCCTTCCTACCTCACGCAGCCTGAGAGATTAATCCACCCCCAGCATCTGAACATTCCTCTGTATCTCACACACTAGGTCAGCTCCGGGCCAACTGCAGTCATCCACTCTCTGACTGTTCTCCAGCTCAGACCTTCCGTCCCTGGGACCTTCCGCCCTCTCCCCAGCACCAGGAGGATGCTTCGCTGGCTCTCAGACCCTACAAGCCACCACTGGGTTTCCTAATAGCAGGGTGGGCTCCAGATAGTACAAAGTTACTCCTCCAGCAAGATAACAGCAGACTCAATCAACTGTACTCCCTAAAAAGAAAGAGAGCCGGGCAAGGACAGCACAGATCTGGGGTAAGACTGCCTGGGTTCAAATCCTCACCCCGATTCTTGCTATCCGGATGACCTGGAGCAAATCCAGTCCCCTAGCCTTGTGCTTTCCATTTCTTTATCTAAAAATGAGGGCAATAGCCTGAAACGAACAGTCTGTCGGGCTGCTGGGAGGTATGTATGATCGCACATGGAGCATTTGGTGTCTCACTGTTGACACTTTAATGGCAGTGGTGGTGGTAGTGGCAGCACCAAATAACTTTCTACTGCACAAATGCCAGGTGTGATAGCCACAACCTCCCTTTTGCGGTGGGTGTTACTGGGATCCACTCCACCAAGCTCCAAGATATAAGGTTAGCCCAAAGTCTCCCGGCTGGTAAGTGGGGACATAGGGAGGCACTGCATTTCTCAGACAGGGGTTGGGAGTAGCCAGCAGAGGGCGCGCCTGCACGAGAAGGAGGCTAGCAGAGGGGAGGAGGTGGCTCACCCAGAGAATGCCCTGCTGCTGCAGCATTGCGCGCACGTTCAGGGCCGTGCTGTCCTCCATGTCCTGGATGGACTTGATCAGCTCCTGGTTGAGCTTGCTGAGGAAGCTCTCGTGGCTGTAGAGCTCCTGGAGTGAGGTCCGCTGATTTCGAAGCATCGACTGTGGATGTAGGGTAAGGGCAGGGAGAAAGTAGCTGTACACATGCCCTAACTTGGGCGGGGGTACACGCTAAAGACCCTCCTGCTCTAGGCCTCTTGTAGTAAATGTTCCCAGGTGGTTCCCCCATCCCCTGCAGATCAGAGCACCTGGAAAAGGAGACACTGTTACCTTTTCACCCACTAAGCAACACACATACACACATACCCATTGTCACATCTCTGAAATGAGAAGTCGTCTTACAGTTGGTGGCTCATCACCATCTAGTTACCAAACATCAGTTGATAAGGATACGCCTTATTACTAAAGACCTCTTCAAATCCATGAAAACTAGAAAGAATGAACATGATAATGGCCCAGTTGGGTAAGAAGTCGGCAGAGATGACAGGCTAGGTTTGGACTAGATGCAGGGATGGGTGAAGTGAGAACACCCACATTTTCTTACCCTTTCTTATCATGCAACGCCCCTGTGGAAAGTGAGTCTGAAGGGTAAGTGATTGCCCAAGGTTACACCCAGCGGTACATAACAGCAATAATGTTAGCAGTTAATAACAAATAATATTAACAACAACTGGCCCACGAGACACGAGGGCAGGCAAGTGCTGTGACCTGCTCTGCACATGATACACAGAATCGGTTCATCCTCCAGCTCACAAGTGGGGACTTAGGGAGGTTAAATGGCACTGTCACACAGCCCGCCAGGAACTGAGAGTGTTGAGACTGGAAAGCCAAACTTCCGAGTCTCAAAGCCTGTGTTTCCACTCCCCCACCTCAAGGAGTCAGTGGGTTTTGTGCTGCCAGGAGCCCAATGCATGGTGGCACCGGCATGTGATGCCAACACAGGCTGACACACGAGGACTACCTGGCAAAACATGAACTATATACAAGTTCAGACTCCATAGTTTACCCAAGGTCACACGCAGCAGAGCTGCTGTTCATGGCTGCTAACCACTCCACTTTTGCTCCCATATCCCCAGACCCCAAAATACAGAAGTGCCTTGAGTGTGGTTTTGTTTTTGCTTTTTAAAAGCCACTCTCAAATCCCTAAGAAGAGAGCTCAAATTGCTGGTGAAATGAAAATCTGGGGACACACAACGACACCCGCTACTCTCCCAGTGACTCTGAGAAATGGGAATTTATGATCTCTGCTCTCGAAATTTACTTGTCTAACCGCAGATCTAATATGGGGTGGTGGTGTCTCCTGTAAGACCTTGACCTCAATATGTAATCACTACTCCTTCTAGGACCCCATCCCACACAAGGGCCTTCCTTATGGTCTTGCTGGTCCTCCTTCCAGCAGCAAGTCACAATAGAAGAGCAGGCTGTGTCTATGCGATCACCAGAGCAAGGACAATGCATGGAGCTCTGCGGGTAGCCGCTGGATAAACCAAGAGGGTGTCTCTTCTTCAGGGTGGGGGTTAATTCATTAGTCTGTTTCTCAAATGAAGTTCAAGCTTGCATTAGTACCCTATACAGAGCCGTGTCTCCAACACCTGGAACAGCGCCCTTCACCAGGCGTCTCCAACACCTGGAACAGCGCCCTTCACCAGGCGTCTCTAACATCTGGAACAGCGCCCTTCACCAGGCGTCTCCAACACCTGGAACAGCGCCCTTCACCAGGTGTCTCCAACACCTGGAACAGCGCCCTTCACCAGGCGTCTCCAACACCTGGAACAGCGCCCTTCACCAGGCGTCTCTAACATCTGGAACAGCGCCCTTCACCAGGCGTCTCCAACACCTGGAACAGCGCCCTTCACCAGGTGTCTCCAACACCTGGAACAGCGCCCTTCACCAGGCGTATCCAACACCTGGAACAGCGCCCTTCACCAGGCGTATCCAACACCTGGAACAGCGCCCTTCACCAGGCGTCTCCAACACCTGGAACAGCGCCCTTCACCAGGCGTCTCTAACATCTGGAACAGTGCCCTTCACCAGGCGTCTCCAACACCTGGAAAAGCGCCCTTCACCAGGCGTCTCCAACACCTGGAACAGTGCCCTTCACCAGGCGTCTCTAACAAGCTGTAAACATGCCCTCCCCCGACTGTCGACCTCTACTCTTCACTCCCCGACCACTCCATCTAAAATGGCCTCCTGAACTTCTCCTGGGTCCCTTTAGCCTCCAACCGTAGTCCTGGCTTCCTCATACCTATATTGTCACTGTACCTGTTAGTGCCATTTTTGTCTTTGTTCTTAGAGACAGGTTCTCATTCTTTAGTCCAAGGCGGCCTTGCACTCACTCTGCAGGCTGGGCGGTTCTCCTGCCTCGGCCTCCCAAGTGCTGGGCTTACAGGCATGAACTACCATGTCCTCTGGCTTATTACTTCACTTTTATATGTGTGTTTATAATCACCTGTCCCCAAGGCCAGAGTCCAGCCCTGGTGACTCTCCAAGCTCTGGACAGGGCCTAGTCCACAGCAGGTGTTCAACCAGGACCTACTGACTGACTGACTGACTGAATGAATGAATGAATGTTTACAAAAGACACAGCATGAAGAACTGCTGAGGGGCACAGGTCACTGTCCATGTCCACACCCTGTATCACACAAAAACACACAAACTCTCCTACAGTGAGGATAAAAAGAACATCAGAAACAGACCTCCTATGAATCAGCCCATTGAAACCATCTGGCGAAAGGACGGCTGACAGGGAAACCACGTATTTTTACTTTTATTTTTGACTCAGAGTCTCACAGTTTAACCCTCACTAGCCTGGGACTCACCATGTTGGAGGTCGCCCTCTGCTACATAGGGAGTTAAGCCAGGCAAGCTAGGCTTCATGAGACTAGTCTTTCAAAAAAAAAAAAAAAGCTTTAAAATATAATTCAAGTGATTACAGAAGCCATAAAACAATGTATAACAGGGGTGGCCATGGTAACGCACACCTGTAAGCCAGCACTCTGGAGGCTGAGGCAGGAGGATTGTGAGTTCAAGGCCAGCCTGGGTTACCCAGCGAGACCTGGCCTGTGGGAAAGGGTGGATGAGTTAGCTAAGGGTAGCAGCTGACTTGAAAGGTTTTTTATAAGCCTTTCCAAGCACCGCCCCCAAATGGGCAGGGCTCAGCTTTTGGAGCCTGTCCTGGAACTAGCTCTTGTAGACCAGGCTGGCCTCGAACCCACAGAGATCCGCCTGCTGGGATTAAAGGCCTGCGCCACCATCGCCTGGCCTGATTACATTTCTAATACAGAGAACTGGTCTAATTCTTTCAGTCTAAGCTCAACATCCCAATCTTAACTGTTTGGGCCCCCGCGCCACTGTTTTCTGGCTGTGTGACCTGGTACAAGCCATTTCTTTCCCCATCTGCAAAATAAGAATAGTTAAGTGTGGCCATGGGCTTGCTGAGTGGAGGAAATTGACCGGCGTTGCTGCTGTCTGTGGAGCTGTGTCTCCTGCTCTGGGCCTCTCTTACCCGCATCAGCCGGAGCTTGGCCTGCATCTTCCCATGGTGCGCTTGCTCCCTCCTCCGTGGCCCTCGCGGATTCTTTGCTTGGTTTGCCATCTCTCCAGAGCTCTGGGACTGCACTGCTGAGGACAGATGGGAAAGGGGAGAGAGAGGATGAGAAAACACACAGGCTGGACCCAGGTCCCAGAGAGTGCCATCAGCTGAGCCCAGCCCCAGGCCCGCTCGTTCACAGATTTACCGCGTGTGTGACACAAAGGAAAGAAACTGCTGCCCACAAAGAAACCCCTACTCTGGGCTTTGTTATAGGAGGGATGAGGCCAGGAGAATGCAGTGACAGGGAGATGACAGAGGGATGGCCAAGGACAGGGCCCCTCCCCCACAAATTATAAATTTCATTTTCCTTCGAGGTTCAGTCTATTCCCTGGAAGGTGAATTTAATGGAAACATTGAGGTAAACCAGGCCAAGCCCACTGTCAACCAGAATGAAAATTGAGCCTACCACCAACATCATCCCCACCACAGTCAGACATGGTGGTGCACGCCTTTAACATTTGGGAGGCAAAGACGGGAGGATCTCTTGTGAGTTAGAAGCCAGTCAGGACTACATAGAGACACCCTATCTCAAAAAGGCAATAAAATAAAATAAAGAACCTACCCCCTCTGTGTTCTTCCAGCCCCAGACACAGAAAGGGGCAGCAAGTGGGGGACAGCGTGTCAGACAACCCCAAATCCCTGTTCTCCCCACTGGGCTGGTAGGAAGGACAGCTGAGCTGAGTGGGAAGGGCTTTCTAGCACCTCTCTCACCCAGAAGGCCATGCGTTTCTGGCCCCTCAGTCCCCCAATAAGATGGGAATAGCCATGCCTACCTCATAGGTGGGTCATGAAGGTTGGATGAGAAAGTCACTGTGCCCTAAGGTGTTTTACATAGTACCTGTCACATCTTCAGGGCTGGCTGAACTATTATTTCTAGCGATCACAGCAGCTATGCAGAACTCCACCCGGCCATCTCTGCAACGCTGTGAGTGGCAGTCAGACAGAGCAAAGGCTCTGGGAGAGCAGATGCTAGGATCCCTGCTGGGGATACAACTCAGCTGGAGCAGTGCTGGCCCAGCATGCACAAAGCCCTGAATTTAATCCTTAGTACTGCATCAGCTGGGCATGGTGGCTCCAGCCTATATTCACAACACTCTGGAGGTGGAGGCAGGGGGCTTGGGCTGCAGGGGAAAGAAGGGACGAAGAAGGTATGAAGTGGGCGGGGGGGGGGGGGGGGAACAACACTCTGCTTCCTATCAGACAATTCTGTACCAACGTGGAACCACCACCCGGCTGCTTGTCTCCAGCCTCGGTCTCCACCGACATCCTTATTCCACACGTAACTGTTCACTTGAGAACCATACTAAATATTTAACCGATTAAGATTATGAGTTCTGGGAAATTTTAATATTTAGTGCTAAGATGATAAGTTACTCTTATTACATATATGTTAACTACAGAATTTTTTTTAGATATTTGAGACAGGATCCCATGTAGCCTGGACCTAACTATGTAGTCATAAACAGCTTTCTCCTAATCCTCCTGCCTCCGCAGAAGGGTTCACAGGCATGTGCTAAACTGAACTACTGGGACTTTAAAAGAACATAAGACTATCCACATGTAGAAGTCTGGTGTTAAGATATGCAGAATTAATCCTCTTTTTGTTTGTACCATGTTGGAATTTTCGGTATGTCCATGTGTGTTTGCGTGTTTGGGGACAGGTGTGTATATAAGTGCATGTGTGTGAGCACGCATGTGAAGGCAGGGGCTGACGTCAAATTACCTTTCTCATTAGCTCTCCACCTTATTATAATACGGTACAGCCTCTCATCTGAACCCAGAGCTCACCAATTCAGTCTAGCTAGCCAGCCACAGAGACAAGCAGATAGATCACTGGGGCCTGATCCCCAGGCTCAGGGAGAGAACCTCCTTCAGAGGAGTAGGTAGGGTGTGATGGAGAACACTCAGCACCTACTTCTGACTTCCTCATGTGCACACGGGTGTTGCGCCTGCCCACACATGTGCTTATACATTCGCACACATCATTTCAGAGTGCTTCATCTTCCTACAAACCACCAGCAACGGGCATGACCCAGCTCTTCTTCACCAGCATCGGAGGCTGGATGACTTTTCGCAGGGGGATATGAAGAAACATCTGTCCACCCCACACAGGGCCCTGGTGACAAACCAGAGGAATGATCTCGCCCAAGTCTAGCTTAGGGGACCAGTAAGTTTACTGGAGCCACTTACAGGAATGTGGACATGGGCTTACAGGAGTGTGGGTCACTCAAACCCACCCCAGCATGGGTGACACTTCACAAAAGCCGTATACCACAGCACATGTGTAGAAGTCAGGGGACAGCTTTCTGGAAGCCCTTCTCTCCTTCCACCACATACTCGGGTCATCAGGCTTCCTGGACCAGTTTTGTTTATTTTGAGGAACTCCATTATAACTATTTTTCTTTCCTGGACCGAACTGTTGGTGCAACTTCTAAAAAATTCTACCCGCTATCCTAGGCCCCAGAGATTGCTCTCTTGCCTTTTTAAAAAAGTTGTATGGATTTGCATTTCATTTTCTTTCACTTTATGTTTTTACTTTTAGTTAGTTTTTATTCATGTTTGTTATTTGTGTGTGTGTGTGTGCCTGATTGTCTGTCTGTGTATCACATGTGTGTCATGGAGGTCAGACGACAGTGGTCAGATCCCCTGGAACTGAAGTTATAAGTGGTTGTGAGTTGTCCACGTGGGTGTGGGAGCCAAACCCAGGCCCTCTGGAAGAGCAGCAAATGCTCTTAACCACTGAGCTATCTCTCCAGTCCCTTCTCTTTGCTTTGTATTTTAAGACTGAGTCTTGCTAAGCTGCCCTGCCAAACCTTTAACGGACTACAGTCCTGCACACTCTACATAGTTAGGGTTACAGGCCAGTGCCACAAGGCCTAGCCAACTGACTGTTTCTAAATATACATACCATATTTTTCATTTATTCCTAGAAGTTATTATATATATGTATATATATATTTTAAAAAGAATAATAATTTTAAATAAAAATCAAAGAGATGTCTTGTAGTACAGCACAGCGGTTTTAGACCTGTGAGGCCAGGCCCGTCTTCACACGCGTGCTGCTGACGTGAACTCAGGTTCTCACAGCTCATAGCAAACACTTCCCTCACTCATCTCCCCAGCACCTCTTTAAACAGGAATGCTCCAAAATACCTATTCTTTAGACTGCCGTTGGTGTCCGAGGAAGGGGGTTTCTATGAGTGTAAAGGCCACCTTGTTCTACATACCGACATGGCCCTTGTCTCAAATACAGACATAATTTAAAGAGGTTGCTGGAGGGAGATAGGACGCAGTATGGCTTTTCTTGGGGAGGTGTCAACATTTGGATGGGACACCAAAAACAGACCGGACACATTATTCTCCCTGAGTCTAGCCACTGGAGCCAGTGTTTGCTGGGCTACCTGAAGGACTGTGAGTTAGGGATGGTACAACCATACACGGTATAGATGACTCACAGGCGGCTGCATCCCCAAAGCCCATCCAAGCAGGGGTGAAAATTCATGAAAACTGTGTTCCTGAAGCTCCCTGCTGGGAACAAGGAGCCCTGCCATAGCTCTCTGGATTACTTCCTGGGCCCTGTAACTTTCCTTTACTTCCTGGGCCCTGTAACTTTCCCCTACTTCCTGGGCCCTGTAACTTTCCTTTACTTCCTGGGTCCTGTAACTTTCCCCTACTTCCTGGGCCCTGTAACTTTCCTTTACTTCTCTCTCCATGGCATGGGGATGGTGCCTGTATTAGGTGGAAACAGCTACACAACAGAAGGGCTGTTTTTTACTGTTCAGGCTACCCTTGAACTTCCGATCTACTGCCTCAGCCTCCAGAGGCTGAAGGCTGTGTGCACCACCATGCCTAGCCCACACGATTCTTTTTCACAGTTTCTGAGTCAAGGCTCAGAAAGACGAAATACTCCTCCAAGTGAGTAAATAACATTGTCAAGACGCAAACCCACACCTGCCTGAGCCAAGACCTCAGAGTTTCCCTGGGAAGGTTAACGATGCTATGATAGACTCAATTCCCCACACGGCTTGTGCCCCTCCTGAACATAGAGCCAGACATTTCCCAGCTTCCCAAACTGTCGGACATGGTCACATGATGAGAGTGGCAGTTCATGGAAGGAGGACAAATGGTCTATGTTGTCACTTCAGGTCTGAGTCCTCTTGTTCTTGCTCTCTCTTCCCTCTCTGCCAGCAGAGGTACTCAAGGGTTTACCAAACATTAGATCTATGAGGTTAAAAGAGCTTAGAGCCCTGAATCACTGTGTGGAACAGACCAGCTCCTCCCCGCACCGCTACAAATGCACAAATGCATTCCTGGGGAATGAACTTCCGCATCAGTATCTGAAGATTGAAGGCCATTTGTCACATCTGTTAGCCTACCGTAATACGAATGGTGTCAAGGGCCAAAAAGCAGCCACTTTAGCTTGTCCCCAACACCCACAATAGCTCCCAAGAGCCTCTGCCTACCTGGCTGCATTCTGCTCAGAGTCTTCATTTTGGTTTTGCTATGGCTTTTGGCATGTCGGAGGGGAGGTAGGGGAGATGACTCCAGGCTCTTCTCTGACCACTGTTAGGGAACAGAATGCACCACACATAACACAGTTCCAGGGTCAGTGGGTTCACCTCCAGCTTGCCCTTTTCAGGTTACCTGCATCCCAGAGCAAGAGACCTGAGCGCTAAGCCTCGATTCTCTTATCTGTAAAGTGAACTTAATCACACAGCCTATATCCTTGAGTTGAGTTTGAGAAGTATTTGCAAGGCCTGCAGTGGTTCCGTGAGTGTTAGCCAGTGCTTTTGTTTTAGCGGGAAGCCAGGACTCACCAAGAACATGTAGGCCATGAAGTGCTAAGAACCTGAAGAAACAGAAGGCATGGAAAATACCCAAGACCCACCCTCTAGCGACAGGAGCAGCAATGAGATCAGTGAGTGAGCAGCTTGATTGACACCCCACCCCCACCCCCACCCCCACCCAGTGTTCGGATCCCGTAATGAGTGCCATTAAGTGAAGTTCAGAGGCTTGCTACAAGGGCGCTCGCTGCTGGGCTTCATATTCAGGCCCAGACTCTATCATGCTCACGACCATGGGAGTTGAGGGCAGGTGGAACACAGGATTACCCAGACTTCCACCCACATCAGGGTACCCTGCCTTTCCCAGACTCACCAGTACTTGCAACTTGTGCCCTGTGGAGTGAATCCTAGAGTGGATGTGTCTGGAAAGAGTCGGGGAAGGGAGGGAGGGAGTTCCATCATCCCCAGCCCAAGAGGGATCCTCTAAGCCCGCTTTACCAAGCGCAGCAGCAAGCTGGAGCCTGGAGAGCGAAGGCTGCGGAATAAATCCATGCATGCGTGCTCCGCCACCCGCCAAGCTCTCTGCTTACTTCTGTGCCATTGGGGAAAAGAGAAGAGTCCTGATCCTCCAGGCACAGATCGTCTCCAGAAGCCAGGGAAGCCTCTGCCACCTCTGGTCTCAGAATGGATCCCAAGGAGACCAGACGCTTTCACCAACGTCTGGTCTCCAAGGAAACGCAACTACGGAGAGCTGAGTGAGACTAACCTCGCCAGACAAAAATACCGCGGCGGCGGCACTTCCCAACCTGGTTCTTTCCCTTTTCGTCCTCCATCAACATCAAACTTTCATCAAACTTGCTTCCTCTTCCTCACTACTTTGCTTCCTATTTCATCAAGAATATCGAGGAGATCTGGAAGCATAACATTCCTGCTCCCAAACACACACACACAGAAAGAGAGAGAGAGAGAGAGAGAGAGAGAGAGAGAGACAGAGAGAGAGAGAGAGACAGAGAGAGAGACAGAGAGAGAGAGAGACAGAGAGAGACAGAGACAGAGAGACAGAGAGAGACAGAGAGAGAGAGACTTCTGCATCCATGGGTCAATTGCCACCCAAGACCAGTTCCAATACTTCCTCTCCAAATCTCATATGCTCCCATTTTCTCAGAGATATTGAACCAGCCCGATATCAAGCCAGCCCACTTTCCAGCGTGGGCAGGGAAGAGTTCATGAGCTATTGACAGACAGTTGATGGCTAGGGGAGTGAGAGTCAGTTTTCTTTAAGGGTAGCCCCTGGTAGGCCACCTGACCCACACCTGTTTGTGCAGATAGCACACACTGAACTCAGTGGGTTGTGAAGGAAGAAAGAGGAGGAGGACATGAAGTTGGGAGGGGGGATGGAGGTGGATGAGGAGGAGTTGAAGGGGATACTGGGGAGTGCAGATGATCTCAGTACATTGCAGTACATTGTATGCAGGTGTGAAACTATCCAAGGATAAATTGGGGGAAACTGGGCTTTTTTTGGGGGGGGGGGGTTCAAGATATGGTTTTTCTGTGTGGCTTTGGTTGGCCTGAAACTAACAGAGATCCTCTTGCCTCTGCCTCCCAAGTATTGGACTAAAGGCAAGTGCCACCATGCCCAACTGACCTAGGCTTTCCCTGTATGTCTCAGTCCCCTCCCTTTATGTCTCAGTCCCCTCCTGCGTTTCCCCTACATTTCTTCCCTCTCCTTTGAAGCCTTCCCACTGCATAGTCAACAGATCTGCATTTCTTCTGTGCAAAAAGTGACCACTTCCCCACTGTCCCTCCTCCCACTTTGGGATCACTCCAGAGAGGTCTGCCTGCAGCTTTCCCCTTCCTCCCCCACTTCAGTAAGGCTCTCGCTCTACCTCTTCCCTAAGACTGCCCTTATCAGCCTCCCCTTTATTAAACCCCTTAGTCACTTCTCGCCATCACCTGATCGATCCGGCTTTCCTCCAGCACAGGACACAGCAAATCTCCTCCTGCCTTGAAGCATTTACTGAAGTCATTGGCAAGGAAGCTACTTTGTTGTTGTTGTTGTTGTTATGTTTTGTTTTTTGGAGACAGGGTTTTTCTGTATATTGGTTATTCTGGAACTCTCTCTGTAGACCAGGCTGGCCTCAAATTCACAGAGAGCCTCCTACCTCTGCTTCCCGAGTGCTGGGATTAAAGGTGTGTACCATCACTGCCTGGACTTAAGGAAGCTATTCTTTCGAACAGCTTTCTGCTTCCTTCTCAGTCTCCTTCGTTGGCTCTTCTTCTTCTGTCTGTCATTATTAGGGTGCCTTCTTCTTCTGTCTGTCATTATTGGGGTGTCCTAAGGCTCTGGTCAGGCCCTCATCTTCTCTGTATCCACTCTTACCCATTAGCTCTCTCTATGCCTTGTCTCTCTGCTGCAGGGCAATCAAGGCAGCATTGCGAGGCAGCAGGTCCTCCTGTGAGGAAGGAGAGAGATGAGGCAAATTGCTCCGTTTGTTTTTTCCCTTTTATTCAGTCCAGGATCCCCCACCCCATGGGATGGTGCCGCCTACATTTAGGGCTCTCTTCCCACTTCAATTAACCTCATGTAGGAAATCCTCACAGAAGTCTGTTTCCATGGTAATTCTAAATCCCATCAAGCTAGCAATCAAGGTTAACCTTCAGCCTCCTGGCTTTCTTTCCAGCCCAGGCCTCCCCACGGAATTTCAGCTGCATGTACCCAACTGCCAGGTTAATGTCACGGCTTGGGTGTCTAAAAGGCACCTGTCTGTAACCTGTGCTCTCCCCAGGAACATTTTTTCCTGAGCTCTGCATCTTCTTTCTCGAAGACATCCTTGGCTTCTCTCTTATCTCTTGTGGGATGTTCTGAACCCTCTCTGACATTGACCTTGAATCAGGGGGTGGAGTTAGTGATTAGCAACCCAGAACTAACCGCAGACTTTTTGATGGACCCAGATTAGGATAGAGAGACACAGGAAGGAATAGGGAGGGGCTTAGAAATATTTGAGGGCCTTTTTGATCTGGGAATCATGGAGAGGCAGGGTCAGCTCATCATTTCTCCATCACTCTGTGGTTCTATCAGATTTGTACCCCAAAATCTGACTCCAAGTTTTATTTAATAATAGAACAATGAAAGTAATCACTTCTCTTATCCCACAGCAAACCCATCAGCAAAACCTGGAATGGTGGCTCACATCTATAATCCCAACACTCAGGATGTAGAGGCAGAATTCACAGTTCAAGGACATCTTTGACTACATAGAATTTGAAGCCAGCCTGAACTTCATGACACTCTGTCTCAAAGACAAAACAAACAAACAACAAAAAGCAAGAGATCATGTCTGAAGTACCTTCAAAAGACATCTAAACTGGGTCACCTAACACTCAAACCATACACATACATCCACACATATTCAAGACCCTGAACTATAGTGCCAACCCCCACCTTTGCCCTACTTCAGTTCTCTACACACACTAGGCTTGCTAAATAGAGCGTATGGTTAAGACAACTATATTAGGGCTCTCTAACAGAATTTATAGGATATATATAATATGGGGATTCACTAGAATCACTTACAGGCTATGGTCCAACTGATCCAAAAATGCAATAAAGGTTGACTATGAATCTAGAAGTTGCTGAGTCTATGGGCTGGATGTCTCAGCTGTTCTTCAGCAGACACTGGAATCCCAAAGAAGTAGGCTCTAATGTCAGCAAGGCCAGAGCAAGCAGGCAAAGAGCAAAAGCTTCCTTCTTCCATGTCTTCATATAGGCTGCCAATAGAAGATGTGGCCTAGATTAAGGGAGGGATCGTCCTACTTCAAATTAAGAAAAAAAAAACACAAAACAAAAACAAAAACAAAAAAACCTCTCATTGGTATGCCCTCCATTTTTTAAATTTTAGTTAATTTCAGATGTGGTCAAGTTGACAACCAAAATGAGCCATCATAAGAACATTGCCATTTAAAAACAACTGAGAAAGCAAATGACTTTAAAATCTCCAAAACTTCAATAGCAGGATGTTAATATAGAACTACGGCAAAGCTCCTTTTTCTGCCCTCTAAAAACCACAGGTGCTAACAGGACATGGTGGTACTCACCTGTAACCCCAACACTCTGTAGATGGCAGGAGGATCAAGAAGTTCAAGGGCATCATCTACAGAGCCAAGCTACATGACCACATAAGTCTCTAAAATAAATTAATTAAAAGAAAGAAAAAATAAAAGAAAGCTGATGCAGGGAACAAGAGAGATGGCTCCATGCCTCTTGGAAAGGACCTGGGTTTGATTCCCATCATCCACATAGTGGGTGGCTAATTACAGTCTGTAACTCCAGAGGATCCTATACCCTCTTCTGATCCCTAGAGGTACTAGGTATGTACATGTAAAATATACACAATGAGACAAAACACCTATATACATGAAAATAAATGTCTTTAAAAAGGAAAGTCAAGGCAAGAGAATGGAGTTTCAGGCCAGCCTCAAAAAATGAAAATAGCCCAGCAGTGGTGGCACATGCCTTTAATCCCAGCACTGGGGGGGGGGGGGGGGGGGGGACAGAGACAAAAGGATCTATGAGTTCAAGGCCAGTCCATTCTATAGATCAAGTTCCAGGATAGCCAAAGCTACACAGAGAAACCCCTGTCTTGAAAAAAAAATCAAAATAAATAGCCACGCATGGTGAATATGCCCATAATCCCAGAACATGGAAAGAGGATAGAAGTTCATTGCCCTATATAGTGAATTTGAGGTCACCCTGGTTTTCATGGATTCTGTATCAGAAAAAGTCCGAAAGTAATTAATACATTTTAAAAAGCATTGCAGAGAGCTGGGGGTGTAGCTGCCCTGGTTTCAACCCATAGCATCACAGAACTGAAAAAACAAAACAAAAAGACTACAGACATTTCTGTATTGTGGGGAGCAGAGGAAGCCCCAAATGAACGTGTGTTGACATGAGTCAGGTCTAGGACCCCATGCCTCAGACCAGTGAAGGCAAAGCCTTCCTCAGGGTAAGGCTTGTGGGAGTGGCGACCCCTCATGCTGGCCTCAGGCAGACACACACACACACACACACACACAGAGAGAGAGAGAGAGAGAGAGAGAGAGAGAGAGAGATTAGCCACCCCTCCTCTGCTGCTCTGCACAGTAAACACACTGAGTTTCCCTTCCTTCCATCTGAGCAGGTCCAACTTACCTGATCCCAGCTTTTCTTTTCTTAGTTTTTAGTTTTTAGTTTTTTGAGACAGGGTTTCTCTGTGTAGCCCTGACTGCTCTTGAACTCAATCTGTAAACCAAGCTGGCCTCAGAGATCCCTCTGCCTCTGCCTCCTGAGTGCTGGGATTAAAGACCTAAATCACCACACCACCTGGGGATCCCAGTTTTTCTCTTGGTGGGTGGTTAAACTCAATTGTCAATTTAATGAGCTCTAGGGTAATTGAGACTGGCCTCTGGGTGTGTCTGTAGGGAATTACTTTGTTGATTAGGTAATTGAGGAAAGCCCACCCAGGGTGAGCAGCACCATTCCCTGGCTGGGTCCTAAACTGTTCAACAAGAGAATGCTCCTCTATCTTCTGTCTGAAGGCAGACGCCCTGTGATAGGCTGCTCCAAAATCCTGCTACTTTGACTTCCCCACTATAAAGGGCTGTATCCTGAACTATAAAAACTCCTTGCAGAATACAGTCCTGGGGCTGGAAAGATGGCTCAGTGATCAAGAGGATGGCTGTTCTTCCAGAGGACCCGGGATTGATTTCCAGCACCCATATGGTGGCTCACAACCATCTCTATAACTACAGTTCCAGGGGATCTGCTGCCCACTTCTTGCCTCTGTGACCACCTGTATACATGCACATAAATTACACATAAAATAACTTTAAATTTTTTTAGCCAGGTGGTGGTGTCACATGCCTTTATGTCGCATGCCTTTAATCCCAGCACTCAGGAGGCAGAGATGGCTAATCTCCGAGTTCAGTGCCAGCCTGATCTACAACGTGAGTTCGAAGATGGCCAAGACTACACAGAGAAACCCGATCTCGAAAAGAAAACAAGCAAAAAAAAAAAATAAATAAAATAAAACAAACGACACATGAGGTTACAGCATTGGTTTTATAGAGGATGATCTATGTGATAAAGCCTAGAGTGTGCTTATTACACTACGGAGCACTTAAAAAAAACTTTACATATGGTTACTGCCCACATGAGCAGGGTTTGTGCGTGGTTTTTAATTGTTTCTTATTGCGCATGTGCCCACTCACATGGCATACCAAGTCAGGAGGCAAGTTTGTACTTATTTCTTTGCCTGCAAGTAGGTTCCAGGGACCCAACGCCGATCTCCAGGCTTGCGCTTTTGCAGCACCGCAGCCTAGTAAGCAACCTGGGTTGTTTCCTTTCCATTCTTAGCGTGTATTTGTGTGTGCGCTTGTCGTAACACCCCTGGGAGGCGAGGCAGCTTCAGGGGAGTCAGTGCTTTCCTCCCACCACATAGGTCCCAGGGATGGAACCCAGAGCAGGCATGGCAGCGAGGGTCTTGACCCATCTACCAGGCCTTCTCATCCTCTTGTTTTGTGACAAGGTCTGGCTGTGTTTCCCTTGTTAAGACTGGCCCAGCCCTCCCTAGGTAGATCTAGCCGAACTTGCCTCTACCTCTCAATACAGACATGCACCATCGTGCCCAGCCCGTATAAGTTCGGAAAAATAAAAGTAGTGCACAGTACTTGCAAGTGGACCAGAATAAAATAAACAGCAGCGAATGGATACAGGTGCTGTAGAAATTCAGTATGGCTACACACACACACACACACACACACACATACACACACTTTAAGTAGTGTTACGTAGCTCTGGGGGCCTGGAACTCAAGAGATTTGCCTGACTCTTACCTTTTGAGTGCTGGAATTAAAAGTGTGTGCCACCATACAAATATATTTTTATTTTTAATTTCGTGTATTATGTGTTCGTGCACGGATCCCATAAAAGCTGGAATTACAGTCAGCTGTAAGCCGCCTGATGCTGAGTGAGCCCTTTTCTCCAGCCCTTACGAAATATCAAAAAGTTAATGGTAAAGTCTTCACTAAAATATTTCAACTTTTCTATATACTTGAGTGTGTGCATAACCCAAAGCTGGTGGGGAAAAAAAATTACTTTATTGTGCTGTGCTCTGGGGGCCGCCATTTCTTTCGCCTTTTAACACAGAAGGCACTCCAAGGACGAGCGAGGTCTCGGTGAACTGCGCCCGGTCTCTGGACGGAAAGCTGTGCTCCTGGAATGCAATCGAGGCCTGCTTGCGAAACGCCAAAACCTCGAGAGCGAGGCCGCGGGCCCAGCCTCCAGGGTAGGGCGGGCGCGGCCCTCCGCAGAGAGGATGCTGGCGGGGGCCAGGGCTGTCTCCGGCCAGCACGAGGCTCGGGCAGAGCAGACTTCCAGGAGGGCGGAAGCCTGAAGCGTCGGATTTCAGAGCGGGGCGGGGAGTCGCCCACGCAGCCGGCCGCCCGCAGCCCTGATCCCGAGCAGGCGCGCGCCGTGGGCATCTCGGGCCGCGGGAGCGAGTGGAGGATGCTGGGAAAGAGGTAACATGGCCACCGGCGGCGGAGCGGAGGAGGATCGACAGCGGGGCCGGCTGCAGCTCCCGCTGCCCGCGCGGCCCACGGCCCGCGCCGAGGAAGCCGAGGGCGTCCGCGAGAAGATGGGCTGGGCGCAGGTAGTTAAGAACCTGGCGGAGAAGAAGGGCGACTTCCGCGAGCCGCGGCGGCGCGACGACGCGGGCAGCGGTGCGAGTGGCGGGCTCTGCAGCCCTGCGGGCCCGGCCGCCCCGAACCCCGGCGACTTCCCACCCGCCAGCCGCGGGGACCCAAAGGGCCGCCGTCGAGACCCTGCGGGCGAGGCGGCAGACGCCTGCAGGAAGAAGGGCACGGGAGACGCGAGTCGAAGGAAGAAGACAGAGGTGGCGGCGGCCATGGCGACCCCCGCCAGGCCCGGGGCGACCGAAGACGCCACTGAGCGACCGCTACAGGACGAGCCTCCGGCCGCCGGCCCCGGTAAGGGCCGCTTCCTCGTGCGCATCTGTTTCCAGGGAGACGAGAGTGCCTGTCCGACCCGGGATTTCGTGGTGGGCGCGCTCATCCTGCGCTCCATCGGCATGGACCCAGACGACATCTACGCGGTCATCCAGATCCCCGGCAGCCGCGAGTTCGACGTGAGCTTTCGATCCGCGGACAAGCTGGCCCTGTTTCTCCGCGTCTACGAGGAAAAGCGGGAGCTGGAGGACTGCTGGGAGAACTTTGTGGTGCTGGGGCGGAGCAAGTCCAGCTTGAAGACCCTCTTCATCCTTTTCCGGAACGAGACCGTGGACGTGGAGGACATCGTGACCTGGCTCAAGCGCCACTGCGACGTGCTGGCCGTGCCGGTGAAAGTGACCGACAGGTTTGGGATCTGGACCGGGGAGTACAAGTGCGAGGTCGAGCTGCGCCAGGGGGAGGGCGGAGTGAGGCACCTGCCCGGGGCCTTCTTCCTGGGAGCGGAGAGGGGCTACAGCTGGTACAAGGGGCAGCCCAAGACGTGCTTTAAATGTGGTTCCCGGACCCACATGAGCGGCACCTGCACGCAGGACAGGTGTTTCCGGTGCGGGGAAGAGGGGCACCTGAGCCCTTACTGCCGGAAAGTCATCGTGTGCAACCTCTGTGGCAAGAGAGGACACGCCTTTGCCCAGTGTCCCAAAGCCGTTCACAATTCCGTGGCAGCTCAGCTCACTGGCGTGGCGGGGCACTGAACGCGCGTCTGCCCGCCGGGGCGAACACACAGCCAGCTTACCCTTCTTAAGTGCCAAAACTTTTTTTTTAAAGACCTTTTCTTTTTATCATTTTGGAAGGAAATATTTTTTAAAACCTGAAAGAGACATTCTCTCTATGCCTTTTTAAAACCACGTGTGCTCCTTTTCAGCCTGTTTGAAACGGCAAATTTTACCAATAAGGACTATTTGGAACTGTAGTGTGCAGATACGTCGCCTGCCCCCCACCACCACCTTTTTTCTCCCGTTTTGCATTTGTTTTGGTACTTTCGCCAACACCTGGACCCCTTTGTACTTTTTACTACCTCCCTCCTCATACATTGCCTCCTTAGAAATTTTTTGCCCTTTGGGCTGCCTTGCTCATCTCTCTGCCTCAGTCGTGTGTGTCCCCGTCGTCGTCCGTCGTCGTCCCCCCCCCCCCCCCCCCCCCCCCCGTACAGGGCCCAACGCGGGGTAGGCACTCCACCAAGACTCGAAAAAGTCTTGACTGGCTTCGGTTAAGAGTGCCTACCTTCCGCAGCTCTCCGCTGGGCTCTTTTCATTTGCTGCTTCTGTGATACCAGAATTTGTGAAAACAGTGTTGCTTATAAACGTGTGATCTGAGTAAGCTCAGAATGGTGGCCACGGGCCTCTCATAGGGGAGAAGCATGTCTACTTTGTGACAGCTCCTTGCGGTGCCTCAGAAGCCGATTTCTGCAGGAGCATGGAGCCCAGGCATTCCTGCTGAGAAAGACCCAAGCGGTGGTTCTCGTTGGATTTTCTTTGGGGGAGGTTGCTTTTGTTTTGTGCTTTGATGTGAGATGGGGTCTCACTGTATAGCCCTGACTGGCTTGGAACTGGCTGCATTGGTAGGCCAGTCTGGCTTCAAATTTACATACAATGATCCTCTCACCTCCGCCTCCCTGAAAGGTGTTTTAAAATTAACCCCTTGATTCTCCAGCAGATGAATGAACCCAGAGACATTAAGTGACTGGGTCAAAGTACACAGCTGTGTGGTGCCTCAGATAGTCCAGAGTAAGAGTCCCTGACCCCCAGCCCGGTGCTGACCCCCACTACCTCTCTCACTTGACTACAGTCTCCTCGACACTGGTGGGCCAAGGAAGTCTGCTCCCTCCAGGCTGGTGCCAGCAAGAAGCTGAGAAGCCATCCCCTGAGAAAGCAGAAAGGGAAAGCTTGTCTTGCCACTCCATAGTACTAGGAAGCAGGGAAAGGACCAGCGAACAGACTCGAGGACCGTGTCTTACATGTTCCAGGGCCTTCCCCTGCCACTGTCCTCAGTGAAAAATGGTTCCCCTCAGTAAAGAAACTTGCCAGACGTTTACACTTGCACCTCTGCCTCAGCTGCTAGGACCCCTAGAGAAGCCAGAGAGCGCATCCGAAACCTTGGGCCTCTGCCCCTCAGGAGAAAGCTGTTTTTAACCCGGAATCATGAGTGTTCTTGGGGAAACAGGCCAAGACAGAGGGCCTGGGTCCACTCCGTGTTCTCCAGTCGAGGTGAAAGACAGTAACTGCTTTCTTCAGTTTTTGTCTTCTCTTTGCTGTTTTGCTATTTCCTTGTGTCTTAGAATGTAAAACCAATTGTTCAGATTTGTTCTGAATAAATATTTATCTTTCGTATTACTAACCGTGTATTTTTCTCCCCTAAGTGTTAGATGAAGCTGCATACCCTTCTTCCCTACAGGCCTTCTGGAGTTTGCCATTATTGAAGCCCAGTGCATTGGGGTTGCTCAGCTCACTGCAAAGACTGTTTTGTGTGAGCTTTTCAGGTTTGGGGAGTTTTCTTGTTTTAGGTTGTTTTGTGGTTTGTTTGTTTTTTGAGGCAGGGTTTCCTCTGTGTAGCACTGGCTGTCCTGGAATTTGCTGTGTAGACCAGGCTGGTCTTGAACTCAGAACTCTACCTGCCTCTGCCTCATGAGTGCTGGGATTAAGGATGTAGGCCACCATGCCTGACATGTTTTTTGTTTTGTTTTGGTTTTTTGAGACAGGGTTTCTCTGTAGATTTGGAGCCTGTCCTGGAACTAGCTCTTGTAGACCAGGCTGGCCTCAAACTCACAGAGATCCACCTATCTCTGCCTCTGAGTGCTGGGATTAAAGGTGTCCGCCACCACTGCCTGGGCAAATTTTGTTTTCTAAGACACGACCTTATAGCTGGCCTGGAACTCTCAGTCCTGACTAGATCTCCCGAGTTTGCTGAGATTATGGGGACTGTGTGTGTGTGTGTGTGTGTGTGTGTGTGCGCGCGTGCGTGCGCGCGCGCGCCTCTTAGAGAAGGGAAAGGGGCCAGCCAGATCCAGTGCTTTGCTGCCCCGTGAAGGGCTTTCAACTTTGAAGTGTTCTGAAGGTCTGACGGTTACAAGATAAAGTTCCCAACTACAGACTCTCAGAGTTGGCGACAGGAGGATTTTGGGGAACAGATCCGAAGCTGGGACCTAGGAGGAAATTGTCCTTAACCAGCTCAGCCCCTCTCCTGGGGTCGAGAAGCCTTCAGACTCACCCCTCCGGAGCGACTCCCTCCCCTTCTTCCTCTTCCCCCATCTTCTCCCTTTGACAGTGCTTGTGGCCTCCGAGAGAAAGCGGGCTTTCAGCTCGCTCCCCACCCCCTTCCTCCCAGCAGGCTGTGTGCCCAGGAGCCAGTGTTTGAAGGAGGCTTCGCTCAACGCCCCTCCCCCACCAGTTGGAACCCCGTGGAAGAAACTGCTTCCCTGCCCATCCCCCTCCGCATGCATGCCTGGGCCTTCTGCAGGCGGAACACACAAAACCTCCCCCAGCTTCCTCTCCCCTTTGGAGCGCAGCCCCGGAGCTGCAATTCCTCAGGGAGGCTGCCGGACTAGAGCCTTTGCATTTTTCAGAGCCAGTCCCTGCTGCTAACAGGCCCAGCGTGGCGCTCTACTGAGCCGCCATCCAGCAGATAGGGCTACGGTGGAGATGGGGACAGGTAACCCAGCCGTCAGCTCACAAGTCACATTCACTATCGTAAGATACTTGCTGTGGCAAAGCAAACCCGTCTATCTAGAACTTTTTGAAGCAAATAAATGTCCCTAGATGAGGCAGGGTCTTGACTGAGACCCACACTCACGAGGAAGAAAGACCAGGGGCCCGCAGGACTGGGGGTCAGCTCAGGGACAGTGCTTGCCTACCATGCCTGAGGAACAGACAGAATTCAGGCCAACTATGGGTTGCAGATGTGGCCCTCGACAAGGCCTGGAGATGACAGGGCTAGTAGGTTGTATCTAAGAACAATGTTTCGTTTCAGGGCTTCCAGTCAGGCCTCCATCTGTCCCCTTAAACGTTCATAAAAGCCCCTTTGAAAGTATCTGGACCTCAGCAGTTCCCTAGTTACACAAACTGATAGACACATGCAGGGGGAAGACCCTGTTGAACAGGGAAAGCTGGGTCAGACTAGGCTCAGAGATAATTTCCCATAGAAAATAGTTTAAGTGGGCCTGGTGCAGTGGCCCATGCCTTTAATCGTAACACTTGGGGAAGCAAAGGCTAGCCTGGTCTACACATAGTGAGTTCCAGGACAAGGACAAACCAGCACTGCACAGCGAGACCCTGTCTTCAAAAGAAAACAAAAAAGCTCTTAAGAGACAAGGAAAGGACAAGGTAGGGAGATGATCAAGAGAAAGCAAGAGTGCTGATCTAGGCAAAAGCAATTAAAGTAAGCACTGGGAAGATTCTAGAAACTGAGTGAAACCCAGTGCTCCAGCCCGGCTGTGTGTACATACCACTGTAGGTATTAAAAATGGATGAGCCCTGAGCGGGGTGGTAGCCTTGACATCTAGATCCCTACAGAGCTGAGCTGCCCATCCCCATGGGAAACAGGAGGCCACTGCAGGAAGTTTGAGGGCACATTGCTGGAGCTAACATCCATTCTGTGACAGTATTCCTGCCATAAACGGAAGGAATGAATTAATTGGAGCTCTGTTTCCTTCCATCATGGTGGAGAGGGCAGGATAGACAAAGCAGCCTACAGTGGCCAGGAACGGAAGGAATGCTACCAACCTCCCAGGAGAGTTCTAAGCCTGAGAGATAAAACAGGATCCACACAGCAGCGGTTTTCATACTTTCACACTCCCTCAGTAAATAGTCCATTTCTCAATGGCCTACCACGCCTAGGATGTGTGCATTGTCCAAGGCTATCATGACCCTGGCTCTAGGACTCCTAAGAGCAGGTACCGGTCTCATGCCTTCGTCCACTGGCACCTTCTCCTTCCTCTTTTTCTCAAATGGAGTACTGGGGGCTAATCTGTGCCAGGCTCTGGGTTCAAAATGCCACCGACAGAGGAGATCAGGAGGAGGTGGAATTACGGGAAGTTTTCTTTGAGAGTGGCTCGGTCCAGCTTCTCTCCAGGTGGCGGTGCGTGTCCCTTTCAACCCCGGCGCGGGGGCCCCAGTGCTCTCTCTACAGGCCGCTCTGCCCCCTGCTCAGGGAGCTGGGGGTGGCTCCCATCTGAGTTGCTCTTCCAAGCCTTGGTTGCCATGGGAACGGCGGCGCGGGCCTCTGTGGTCCGTAACTCACGCTCCAGGGACCCGGCCAATGGACAACAAGCTCCGTAACGCAACTAACCAATCGGCAGGCTCCCCCGACGGACTGCCCCGCCTTCTGCCACCAATGAGAACTAAGACTGACATCCTTATGGCTTCTGTGGAACGGGACTTTATTATTACTTTTTTCAAAAGGAATTCTTCAAATTAGAAGAAAGTGGAGCAAGGCCTCTCTGCCAGCTGCAGCCCGAGTGGTCTACGCTCTCATTCTGTATTTGAAGATCAAACAATACATGCTGATCTCTACTAAAGTGGTTTCGGGCCGTGAACATAATGGGCCATGGGCTTTATGTACCCTGGCTACGCCAGTTTCTTTCGTAAATGATCAAGAAGTGAGTCATCTGTCTTTGTTCTTGTTTATTTATTTAGGCATGTTGAGACAGGACCTCACTATACAGCTTTAGCCTGGCCTCTCAAGTCCTGGGTTACAGCTCAGCATCACTTGGTCCCTCTTCCTGTTGATCTTTTAAATACAAATTGCAAGCTGGGCATGGTGGCGAAAGACTGTCATACGAACTCGTGGCCTCTGCAGGCACCAGACAGGCACACAGCCGGGACGCATACATGCAGGCAAAACACCCCCATAAAAGAAAAATAAACCTTTAAGAAAAACTTTGGAACAGTTTTAGAATAATAAGAAAATTGTGCATACAAACGTTCCATCGACCCCACCTACCGTTAACTCTGTAATTAGCACCATGTATCAATTCGGTATATTTGTTTCAAGTAGTTGCCCGATACTTGCTTACATCAGGAGAGCAGTATTGGCTACTGAATCCAGGCCGGACACATATTAGGAAAGCCCTCTACAGCTGAGCTGCATTTCCAGCCCATTAACTTT